TTCAGTGATTGTCCAGCAATGGAGTGGTGTTGAGATTTGCCCTTGAAAACGCCTCCAAAGATGATTTCAGTTTCACACTTTTTCACCTTTTTTCAAGTTTTTCTTTTGATGATTCTGCAACCTCTAGCCCTTGAATTCGTGTGCTTTCACTTGTATATGTATGCTGCAATGTATTAGGTCAACTTTTGGGTCTTGAATCTTTGCACATTGATGTCTTGAGATTTGATTTGATTCACCATTGATAACCTTCCAATTTTGTCCAAAATCCAATATTTTTGCACATGGAATGTATGATACGAATTTGATACACTTGATGATGATGATTCAATCCTGAAATAGCCAAAAAGAGATCAAATAATCAATGTTTGGATTTTATTTAATTTAAATTGATTTAAAATGAAATAATTCATTAAAAAATCAAATTAAATAATAAAATTGATAAATGGTCACAAGGCTGAAGCTAGGACACATGTGTAGTGTGACAAGATCAAATCAAGTGGAAAAGAATGGGCCCCTTTGACAAAATTTGAAGTTTTGGGGATAGTTGACTTTTGGCAATTTTGAAAAAATGCCCAACTTCAGCATAACTTCTTCAATTTTGAACTTTTGGAGGTGTTATTGGACTTTTTAGAAATCATGCTATGTCCTCTAACCAACACTTTTTGTCTCATCTCATTTTGATATTCCATGCTCAAGTTATAAGCTTTGGCAAAAAAAGGTGTTTTTGTTGACTTTCAAAAATAACCTATAATGTCCAAATTTGTAACTTTTTATGAGTGCATTTCTTGATCTTGGGGTATGAAGATGGATTGTAGGAAATTTCATCCTATTCAAAATGAGCTTTGGATGGGTCATTTCTCATAAAGTATGAGAAAGTTATGCTTGGTCAAAGTTGATTTGACTTTTCCTACAAAACCCTAATTTAGCAACTTTTGAGTCTTGATGAATTTTGAGCAATCCTTGATGAATCATGATCAACCCTTGATCAAATGATGAAATATCCTTCAAAATGAGAATGTTAACAAAAAATCTTGAGGTTTGACTGTATTTGGGTCACAATTGACTTTTGCCCTAACACAGTCGATTTTTGGACCCCTTGAGCATTTGACTGAGCAAACTTCCTCTGTAAGGCTTGAAATTTGACATGGATGATCTTGAGAACATATTAGGACATTGGGGAGCACTTGAGGTCATTTGGATGCAAGGACCTTGAGGCAACACAAAACCCTAATTTGAGGTTGACTGCCTTAGGAGATAGCTTGACTGTCCAACTCTTGAGCAATCTTGAGCCACTTGGAGATTTTTCTTGTAATGTATTGAGAAGTATGAGAGGGCAAATTTTGGGGTACAATAGGCGCCAACTGAAGCCACTGGAAAACCCTGACCTGGAAATCATTGAAGGGAAAACGCATCCCCGCCTCTTTAAAAGCAAATTCATACATGGGGAACCGTTTTCCCGGATACGTCGAGCATATTCTTCGGTCGTGATGGGGATTTGGAGCATCCAATTGGCGGGGGGCCCTTTTGCGTGTTCCTCCGGGCAATTGAATGCATTCGTTGCATCGAGGGAAAAGCACGATCGTTTATCCCGGGGCTCAGGAGCGACCCAAGCCAAAAGGGTCCTCGTCAGTATGGGGCTCGTCTTCGTAATTGGTGGCCGGAATGTCATCCCCGACTGAGTGCGCCATTATACCTGAAAATCACGAGAAATTAGTGAATTTGACATTATTAAATCCACCCTTCCACTGCATATCAAGTGAAAGGGCGACGAATTCGACCCAAGCCCTTGACTACATGCTAAAGCGGACTATTACATTGGGAGGACATGTTGTCGGGGGGATCACTCATCGAGCGAGAAGCCCGAGATAATCCCTATATCTGATGAAACCATCCCCTGTTACAGACATTGTTCGGGGAGGCCACCCCGATACTATAGCTAATGAACGTTCATAGTGTCCGGCACATTCATGAGTGCTCGATACATAATCCATGAACTCCAATGAACATTCATGAGTATTCATCATAAAACTCATAAATGTTCATCTAATCAGGGCATAATTTTGACATTTAATCCACAAACGCTTAAGAAACATGGTGTTAAGAGGTTATAACTTACTTGGATGAAGAACTTAAAGAGAATCTGAGAAGTCGAGAGGATTGCTTCGCCCAACGAGCAAGGAAATCTGAGAAGTTGAGAGGATCGCTTCACACCACGAGTAAGAAAAGTTGAAAGGAAACTTGAGAAGATGACAAATGAGACCCAGGGCCCCCCTTTTATAGGTGACCCATGCCCCCAGGGGTCCCTCATGAAAGGTCATCATTCATTGGGCCTTTTTACTTTTCCCTTGAAGGGGTGGCACCCCAAAGCGTTAGCCACGTGGCTCAACTGTCAACTACACATCCCTTCTAGACTGACGAGTATGTGCCCAACTCCTACGCGTCATCCCCAGACGCGCACGAGGTAGGTACCCCATGCGAGGAAATGCTCGACATTAGAGTGTATATAGGGGCACGTCCATTCGACCACCTTGGGGACGAAGTAATGCTCGACAAATCGACAACTCCCTCAAGACGGGCATGTCAAAGGGAATCTCGCGGAGGCTCCCCATCACTAATACATCCTCACGAGCAAGCGATTGACCCATTCGGTCTCGCCTCCCGCTCATCCATGATATCCCCCAACATAATAGTTTATCCCCTACGCGGGAAATAACTCGTTCCTTTCGGGGGACTTTGGCCGTCTATCTTGATCAAGTCTCCGGTATTGGGAGCTGAACTCAAGTCACTGCCCTTTTGCTCAAGGGCAATAACTTGGGGGGCTCCTGATATGGATTGGGCCTACACTTGCCCTTCGAATGGGAAGCCCAAAGATAACCCAAGTTAGGGACCGTTGGGAAACTCCTCGCCCGACCGTTGGAGGACGTGGCCCACGATCCCACGACAGCCATCTTAAACTGCCTTCCGGAAATCACGGGTCCAACCTTATTCTCACGGAGTAGTTGACTAGGGGGGAGTCCACTTGCTGGACTTCATACGCATGTAAGCCCTGACAGTTTCTGTTATTGGGCTTCAACGTGGCCCAAGAGTGGGAACCTTGGCCCAGCGCTAGAGGTTATAAATACCCTCTCTCCTAAGAGGGTCATGTATTCAATTCATCTCTCTGAACTCATACTTGCTTGCTCATTCTGCAACTTACTTTGCCATTAGAATGTCTTGCAGGTACCCCCCCATCTCATTCAACTTCTGCCTGAGCCAACAGTGATAATCCACTTCTGATCCGGTAAGATCAATAACAATACAAGAGAAGGCATAATGATAAGCGGGTAAGATTCAAGTACACAATCAACACATAACATACATCATAATATACTACACGCTTTCATAAATCTTCGCCCATCGGTTTATCAATCACAATATGATGTAGACTGACACAAATGTAATGCATGTGGTACCAATCAGGGTAGAACCCTCTTCACAATAATGCCAATTAGGGCACTTAACTTTGCTCGCCAATACAGGCCTTCACTCGCCAATACTGGCCTTCACTTTATGAATGCATGAGACACTATCATGCAACAATATACTTCGCATTTATCGTTAATACTCATCACAATATCACCAATACATGCCTTCGTCATTGCCTTCATTATCTATCTCGTATCACACAATCACAATAATCATCGCAATAACGACAACATAATTCATGACATACAAATCAAAACACACTTACGAATCGGTAGAAATGTTGATGAAATAATTAACTACTGCATTATAAATTTTTTTTATAAAATAGGAAATTATTTTATCTTTCCAACAGTCCAAACGGCGCGTGAAACGGACACCCGAGACAAAAGTTTGGATTGTAGAAGTTTTTCAAAAAATGTTGTCAGTAACAGTGGTAACCGGATACCTAGTTATGAGAACTGGTTACCGCATGACAATAACATTCTTACTATTCAAAATTTATCACGGTAACCGGTTACCCACTTATAGGAACCGGTTACCACAGGACAGTAGCTAAACCTCGTTTCAACCATTGATATGGTAACCGGTTACCATATTTTGGGTAATCGGTTATCCTGCGATAACAGTGGCAATTTCTAAAAATTTCAGGTTACGATCTTCCATGTTCTAACACCCAAAAGTCATAATTTTTACATTAAAATTCATCTTTTTAACAGGTTAATTATTCATCAACATTCATCTACCAATTCTAACCAATTAATATCATTCAAACACATCAAAACACACCAAAATCACCAAAATTCCATCAACAGGAACAAGCCCCAAAACAACCAAATATGGAGAAATCAAAACAGACGATTATACAACCTAAATTCTACCATACCCCATCAATAGGAAAACCCTTATAGAGTTATAATCCACCTTACCTTAGGTTCTTGGTTGATTCTTGATTCCTTTGGATGAAACCTCTTGCCCTAGCCTCCTAGTGCTCTTTCTCCTCTTCTCTCTTCTACGCTTCTCTTTCTCTGTTCTATGTACTAACTCTTTTTCCTTATTCTTACTCTTATAATCTAATAATAAATATAATAACTATCCCAATTAAATGATTATTTAATTATTATTATAAAATAATAATAATTATACTAATATAATAATAATAATAATAATAATAATAATCCATATTATTCTACACACACCTACGTTTCTACACAATTAGCCAAACACCCCCATAACCTCAATTTCTATAATTCTAAGGCATCTATCCCTCGACAAGGTATTTCACCACATTATAATTTCCACTAACTCATACAATTTCACCGCATCATCTTATTATTTAATTAAAAATAATTCTAATTAAATCGGGGTGTTACAGGCACCCGTGTCAGCCTCAGCTCCCAAATTGTAGCTATGCATCCTCTCTTGACATGGCACGTGTCAGGTGATATGGGTGGCCGTATAAGGCACCCTGTAGCTTGGTTTTTGAGACTTCCTCAAAAACTCCGAATTTGCACTTTTTCGCACTGATTTTCCTGGTTTTATTCCTCTGAGCTTGAAAAACACCAAAACATAATATGCGATAAAACGAAATAAAAAATCGATAAGTAAAAGAAACGATAACTAAAATAACTGCTAAATATATGTGTAAAAACCACTAATCAGAGGGCGGGAAGAAACCTCGATCCCGCCATAGCTTAGCTACAGTAAAAATATCGTCACCACAAATATCCCAAAATTTTTGATAGAATATCGGGCTGAAGCTATCCGGAACTGGAGATTTGTCTGGGTGCATTTCCTTTAATGCCAAAAGAAATTCTTCCTTTGTAAATTCGACTAGCAATCTGTTGTTGTCCGCTTTTGTACTACTGTTTGGACTTTGTGTAGCACCAGGTCGTAAGTGGCTGCTGTAGCTGTGAACAATCTTTCAAAATAATCCTGCGTATCAATTCCAATATCTTGCTGCTCGACTAATCCATACCCATCTTCATTAATTAATTTCTCAATTTTCTTAAACTTCTTCCTTGCCGTAGCGGATTGATGAAAGGATTTGGTATTAAGGTCCCCATTTTTCAACCAGTGCATCTTCGCTCACTGTTGCCAGTATGTGTCTTCTTAAATAAGCATTTTGTTATATTGATTCTGCGCCTCAAAAAATGTTACTGTCTTGGTCTGATCATGGTATCCCTTACACCTATCCATTGTTTACTTACATCTCGCAAACTCCAACCTCTCATCTCTTCCCCGATTTCTACACCAATCAACCAAATTATATGCAAATGAAACAATACAATTTTCTACTTCCACTTCTTCCCTAGCCTTCCATCCTTGTATAATCTCCATGATACCATCCTCACCCAGCCACTTGTTTTCAAATCTAAACATAAACTTACGTTTCACCCGCGGCTTAGGTTCACAATCAAGCATAATTGGGCTTTGATCAGAGTGAGTCGCAATGAGATTCAAATGTTTGGCATTTGGAAACAATTGTAGCCAATCCGTATCTGTTAACGCTCTAGCCAACCTCTCCTCGATTAGTAACTCTACTCTTTGCCCATGTAAATTGATGCCCTTCAATCGGTTTATCAACCAAGTTACAATCACTAACCACTTGACGAAAACCGACACATAACCAGTTAGGATGAGGATGCAAACCCACCTTGTCTTATTGAGACAATAGGTCGTTGAAATCTCCGATGATACACCATGGTAAATTTGATGACCCATGTATTTCATGCAGCAACTCCCAGGCTAGTTTCCTTATGCTTCTTTCGGGGTATCCGTAATAACAGGTAAGTCTCCAATATCCTCTATCGTCGTCTTTAACATGGATATTGATAAAATTTCTGGAAGAATTCACTATACTACAGTTTGTGTTCTGTTTCCACATAATGATTAGTCCGTCGCTTCTACCTTCTACATCAACAACTAGACATGCTTCAAATTTTAACATAACACGAATCATTTCCAACTTCCTAGATTTATCCTAAGTCTCAACTAGGAAAATGATATCCGATTGATATCGTTGATCTAATTTCTTCAGATTAGGAATTGCACGCAGGCTGCTCAGACACCCAACAATTCCAACTGAGTATCTTCATAAGTCCCGGCAGTCCTGGTTGCCAGGACTTGTCGATAAAAAATACTGATATGATACCACAACCTCATCATCATTACCGCGTTCATTTCCTCTCCTCCTCTTCTTCTCAATTTATTCTCCCTTCTCCTTTTGGTCATTACTAGTTGTAGCACTGTTAGAGTTATTTCCAACTCCAGAAATCATCGAGTCACTATTTTTTCCTACCTGAGTTCTTCTTAATTGTTTATGCACACTTGTATTTTTCACATTGTTCCCTTTCTGGCTCGAAACCACATTTATACTTGGCTGCTTGAACTGCAGAATTGCCTGTAACTCATAAGGAATTTTTGTTGCACTAAATGTTACTGGTAACAAACTGTTATCTTCATGCACCGATTCTGGAATCTGATTGGCTTTGAAGTCTAAAGACTCATGTATCACATGTTTTTGTTGATTGGATAGCGGTTGTGACAATTGAAATGAGGCAGGTGGGACCTGTTGCTTGAATGAGACATGTGACAGTATGAGGCCTAACATGTTCTCCTGGACTGATGGAATTTGTGCATGTTGAGAGAAGACAGACACTGAATATTGCTTAACACTTGTCGGCGATCTTTGAAACAGGTTAATTTGTGTCTTCACGTGTCCCGTACAAATTGGATATTCCTTTGCAGATTCTTTATCTTTATGAGACATAATTCCTTCATCAATATTAGTAATCACTCCATTATTATTTCCAATATTAGCAATGATCATCGCCTGTGCCTGCTGACTCGGGTCTACCTGTACCACGCTGTCCACCTGCTGAATGGAATCATTGTTTTTTCTAGGTTTAACGACCACCCTCTCTGAATCCGTACCACCACCGTTTCTTTTCATGTTGTTCCCGACATCAATTTTAGCCCACCGCGAAGAGGAACCACCACCATAACGTCTGGTATCAGCCCTAAGATCATTAGACCATTCTCTTATATCGTTGTCTTCCGCCCTAGCAAAACGATCTCACACTTGTTCTCCGAATGCCTAATTTTCCACAAACGAAACAAAATAAGCCGAGTTTCTCATACTTGAATTTAACTACGCACCAGACACCTCCCTTATTCTTGATTCTCATTTGCCTCTTCAATTGTTGCCTCACATCGATCTTCACTCTAATTCTCATATAACTGAGACACCTCCCTTATTCTTGATTCTCATTTGCCTCTTCAATTGTTGCCTCACATCGATCTTCACTCTAATTCTCATATAACTGGTGTTGTTATTTTTGTTATACTCCATAAAAGCCCCAATGAAATTTTCCATGGTTTTCCCTACTTTCTCCATCATCATTCCCGTTGGTAGGTATTGGATTTGAATCCATAAATCAACATGATACAGTGGTATATTTTCAATCTGCATTCCAATCCTTAATTTCTCAATAATCAATAGATGTGAATCAAATGTCCATGGCCCACCTTGTAACGCCGCACCCATATCCATTTTATGCGAGAATTGGAAAAGAAATAGGTCGTCTTTCACTTCCTTAATATTAAATCCCCTCACCAGACTCCACACATCCACAACTTTCTTCTTCATAACTTGCACATGAATAAATCTATCACACAGGCACCATCTGAGATCTGAAACTTCATCGCCATCCTCCTCCACATCAAAATAAAACTCTTCTAACTCATCTTCATCGTTGATTGATAGATTTTTCATACTCGGTCTTGCCATCGTGTCCTAGAAAGAAATTGTGTTGGACTAAAGTACCAGGAAAAGTCAAGGATCACACCTTCTCAAAAAAGAGAAAAAAACTAAAACCCTAGCAGAACTAGGAAAATAATCTCATATTAAACTCCGCCATCTCATCCAAATACTATTAAATAATAATAATATTATTTAAATAACTAAAAATTGATTCAAAACAAACATATTAAAATATTTTTTAATTAAAAATATAATAAATATAGCGACGTACGATACAATACTCACAAAATTCAACAAGTGTCCAAAAACAGATAAAATTAAATAAAATTCAACAAAGAAGATATAAACAACTAAAATGCAAATATAGATGAGTATTACAGTGGTTGGGTGCAGGAGAGAATGCTCACTAACTAGTTAGTAATGGGCCTAATATAAAGCCCGTTTGGCCCAACTACCAAAAAACCAAAAAAAAAAAGAGGAAAAAGAAAGAAAAATCGGTGGTTCTTGCCAGGCTCGTCATAACTAGTCTAATCAGTCGTCCACCACCACCACCACCACTACCACCACAATCTGATCTCCGACTCCGTTTCCGATTCCGTTCATCTTTGCAATCTGATATTTTCAAATTTTCAAATTTCCATATCTCAAATTTTCTTATTCAATGTTTAACTTTCTCATATGAGATCTGAGAAACGAAACGATTTTTGCTCAGAACTTACATATAAATAACACAAACTCATTTTTCTTACATCCCAATCTGAAACCCTAACTTCAATCCCGATCTGAATCGCTTCAATGTCTTGTTTAGCGCTTTCTCTACAACCGTCCAACGGATCCGATATTCTTCTCCAGACTCGCGAGTGGTTCCCACCCTCACGCGCTCTCGGCGCCCTCTCCGCTTTCCGTCACACTCGCCGCGCATTTGGCGCCAACAGGAATAAACAAATCGTTCATGAAGACGCTTACGCCGCCGAATCCATCGGTGACGATCCCCTCGCTGCTTCCAGTGGCCAAGTCATCGTCGGCGTTGAGAGCCGTTATCGGATTGTGTATCGTTTAGTTAACGGAATCTATGTTCTTGGAATAACCGTCGCCGATCATGATAACTCCGTTAATGTGTTTGAATGTATTCATATTGTTAATCAGGCTGTTAGTGTCGTTGTCACCGCCTGCCGTGGCGTGGATGTTACTCCTGAGAAGCTCGGTCGAAAATACGCCGAGATCTATATGGCGCTTGACATTGTTCTACGTGGTGTTAGCAATATTCGTCTTGCCGCTATGCTTTCCACTATGCACGGAGACAGTATAGCTAAGATGGTGCATTTTGCTATTGACAGCGAGAACAAGATCCGTGGGGCGGATAATTGGTCTTCGGCTGAGGTGCATTCTGTCGAACACCAAGCGAGCATTGATGCATTTGCTAATGCGAGATTTGAGTTACCGCAGGAGACTCTTGAAGCTGGGGATGAAGTGGTGGCTAGCCTTGCTGCTCCGGTGGCAAGTGAACAGACGGAAGAGATTCAACCGAAGCAAAGTCAGGAAGAGGCTCAAGTGGAGAAGGATCCCTTTGCAGCTAGTGATGCGATTAACAAACCTCAAGAGCTTGTGAGTGGGTTTAAGAAGACTAAGGATGGTTCTTCCACTGATTTGACTACAGCTTTGGAAGGTCTTGATGTTACCACATTGCCACCTCCAGAGGCAACGCAATCAACCCATATAAATGTGGAGGGATTTGAAGGGAACTATGGTGGTGTTGAGTTTGGAATGGAACAGGCTTCAATTGGAGAAGCTTTTGAAGGTTTCAATGATGCTTGGGGTGGTGGACTAGATGTTTCAGAGTTTGTCGGTCCAACTAAGGCTCCAAAACCGCAAGGTCTTGGTGGAGTTGAGCTCTTGCAGACAGGGCCAGATGTTGCACCTAAAGCAACAGCTGGTGAGAGTGCTGGTGCACTTGAGAACTTGGTGAAGAAAACTGAAATGAAGGGTCCTGAGATGTATATTTCGGAAGAAATTAGTGCAGAGTTCAGGGAATCAGAGCTTGCAAGGGTGGGATTAATAGGTGTTGTTTACCTCAGAACTTTGCCACCTAAAAGTTCTGGCGGTGATAAAGAAACCGAATTCTCATTCCGAATTGAGGGAACCAAAGCTGTTAAGAGGTTTGCTTTGCAGAGTTCCCGTGTTAGTAGCCTTGAAAATGGAATGTTTCATGTGAGGACAGCGGCTTCAGAGGAGCCTATACCCATTATGAAGTTTAGTTTGCTTCCAAAGTTTACACCTCTGCCTTTGAGAGTTCGACTTATAAAACGACACACGGGGAGTTTCATTTCTGTGATGATACAATATGTTTCAAACCCTGATTTGCTTGCTCCATTGACCGATGTTACATTCATTCTGAAACTACCAGTTGACCCAACGCTATTGAAGGTTTCTCCAAAAGCCATTTTGAATAGGGTTGATAAAGAAATTAAATGGCATGTGCCAGAGATTCCATTGAAGGGCTCTCCTGGAAGGTTGAGAGTAAGAATGCCCGTAGATTCTAACGAAGACGATGATGAAGAAATTGAGGTAGTTGGTTATGTGAAATTTTCGGTACAAACAACTCAGACATTATCCGGAGTTACTATACGGCCTGCTTCGGAGGGCAAAACAGACTTCTATGAGGTTAGTGACAAACTTGAAAGTGGGGTTTACATGTGCAACTGATTTGTATTCATAGATGATTTTTAGGACCTGTAGTTTTTTATTGTGTTCATGAGATTGTATGATTTGGTTGTTTATAAACATCTTGGATATTGAGCATGTACCTTGAGCTGTGAAAAATTGTTTGTGTGCGCTTCGGCTATTAATTTTCATCAATGGATTGTATTTGGTCTTCACAATATCTTATATTTACTACAATACTTTCTACTACCTTCTGAAAATATTAGCAAAATAGCTATAAGTGTAGATCCTTGATAAACTTGGATTGGGAAATGTTGGTTGTAGAACTGTAATACTCCGAGCTGCATGCTGTAATTCCTTTGAATGTGCTTTCAATTTAGAGAAGTCTTTTGTCCAGTAACTTTATCAGTGCTACAATTGATCGATATGGAACAATCCTAGAGTAAGCGTCCTCCTCTTGACAGGGTACTTCTGCAATAAATAAACCAAGCATACTCTTTTTGCTAGAGTACAGTCTTGATAAACATTCAGATCATCTCTGGACATTATTACTAATTGATAGTTAATTATACTGAAATCATGAATTACACTACAATCCTAAAGGATATTTATAAATAATAACCCGAAGCTGATGGGATTATTTTGACAATATTGATGCTAATTAAGAATTAAATGATTTAAATGCCAGTAAAATATAAAATCTGGAAATATGAAATCCTAGCAATTAAATAAGAGATCTTATTAAAACAATTTTCTGAGAACTTATTGTCCTAAATTTCAAATGATAACATAATTCTTAATTTAACACGATTAATTTATGAATTTACTTCTCTACATATTGCATCATTCTCCATTGCTTTTGGATAGTTAGACATGTTGCACACATCCAAATAATTATTCAAGGGTAATATTGTATTTAATCATCTCTAGTTTGACAATGGGTGAGTAGTGACAAAGGAAGTTTGTAATCCACACAAAAATTTAGGTAGGAGTAAAAGGATAGAAATAATGCTCTAATACACATTTGTTTGTTGTTAGGGGACCTAAGACTACCACCCTTCTTTTGCAAGGGTACTAGCTGTGGGCATTAGGATATTCATCCTTCTGTAGTTATCTATCATTTACATGAATAGTACACTACTTTTTCAGTATGCGTATTTCTATCTGTTTCATCTATATTCTGTAAGTTGCGGTGATACGGGTATACAACAATGGTCCGACCTGCCAGATTCATGAGGGGTCAGTGCTTTACCGAGATGAAAATCCACAGATGGAGGAAATTTAAGACACTAGGAGATCACATGACCAACATTCAAAAGAATTTGAGAGACATGCAGATCCAACATAAAGAAAATCACGATCAATTGGTTGCATCGTTATCCAAAAACCATCTGAGTAAAAGGAGAACTGAGGTGTGTGAGAGCAAGATTGAAGCATCTGAAAATCACTCACCGATGGAGGTTTGTATTGCATCAAGCTGGAGGAAACTACATGGAAAATCGTTGGAAGTGCTCCATCAATCACCTCAAAAGGTGGATCCGAAGATGGAAGGGAGCGATCGGGGAAGATGAATCCAGCAATGACCAAAAGTCTTGCAAAACGAGGGTAAAGGTGAGTGACGTCTGCTCCAATAATGATAGGTCAAAGTTTGATGTTGACATCGATTCCTTGGCCTTGAACCTAGAAGGGCGAATTTCTCATTATGTAGGTTAGGTCAAAATTTAGACATAATAGGCCTGGTCCAATTAGATGATGTCATACCACTACTGGACCCAATTGCAATTGGTTGTAACCAAGGAAAACCATTCAGAATTTACACGAAGAGGCACACAAAGCAGAACTTAACCAAACACAAAACTAGATGGGTGTGCAACCTTAGAAACCCACGTGTTTGGGTTTGAAGTCGAATATTTTGAAAAACATAACACCAGGAGAGTTTATGTATGATAAGAGAAAATGACAACTGTAGCAGTGGCCACCTTTTGTGGGTTCACTCAATCCTCTGTTATTAAAATCCACACCGCCGACACAGCAAACACTTTGAGTTCAGATTGTGAAGCGGCTCATACCCAGTTGGTGGAGTTGTTTTTCACACTCACAAAATGCAGAGCTTGTGGCAAAGAGACGGGGTGATTCATTTCTGTTTAGCAATATTATCCGAAATCTATTACTTAAAATATTAATCATGAATAGAGGAGGATGAGCTCTCTTATTTTCTCAAATGGGGGCGTAGAGGAGTCCCGAGAAGGAATTTATAGAATTTTTGGGAAGAGAAGCATCATGGATTGTAAAACTTGAAACCAGCAAGAAAGAGAATCAGAAGACTTATGTGGATTCAAGGACAGTTATTGAGGAAGGTATGTCCT